AAGTGGATTGAAGTAATATTGAAGGAGTTGAGTTCTTTGAAGAAAAATCAAGTATGGCACTTGATGAAGTTGCCAAAAAATAAGAAGTTTGTTCAATATAGATGGATGTACAAGAAGAAGCAAGTTGACACTTACAAAACATGCCTTGTGGTCAAAAGATACATTCAAAAGAAGGATATGGACTACATTGATTTTTTCTCTTCAATTGATAAGCTTGCCACTATTCTTGTATTATTTGCAATAGTTGCAATACTTGATTTTGATTTATATCAAATGGATGTGATTACTATCTTCTTGCATGGGTTATTTAATGTAGAAATTTATATAGCACAGCTAAAGAGGTTTGTGTTTAAAGATACATAAGACTTGATATATCTTTTGTTGAGATCATTGTATGATCTTAAGCAAAGTCATAGACAATAGAATAAGTGGTTTAATTCCTTCATATTTTCAAAGAGATTCATATAGAGTGAACATGATTGTTGCATTTACATGAATGAGTGGAGAACTTCAAGATATTTGGTTTCATTTTTTTGGCTCTCTATGTTGAAATGACATATTGATTGCTACTGAAAATATGTCTAATGTTGCACATCTAAAAGCAATGTTAAATGAGGAGTTTTCAATGAAGACTTAGATCAAACCAAGAAGATTTCAAGAATATAGATTCATTTTAATAAGGAATAGAAGTAACTATGGTTGTCACAATGATAGTATAAGGAGAAAATACTTGCAAAGTATGTGATGGAGAAGGCAAAATCAATTAGTATTCTATTAATCCCTTAGTTTGAACTTTCACAACTTTATTACCTTTCTACTAAGAGTGAAATTTAAGCAATGAAGTCTATTTCCTATAATAATGTCGTGGATAGTTTAATATATGCTATACTATGTACTAGACTTGACACTGTCCACGCAATTGGTGTTTTGAGCAAGTATATGATAAATCTAAGCAAACTTCACTAAAAAGCAATAAAATGAATTTTTTTTCTATTTCAAAGATACAATTGACTATAGGATTATGTTTGATGGTATTTTTAATTCAACATTGGAATTGAGAAGATATATAGATTTAAATTATGTTGATAATTTGGATAGCAAGAAGTCTATCATTAATTATGTGTTCATGCTAAATGGAAGATGTATCAATTAAAAGTCTACAATTCAATCTTGTCTTATGTTGTCTACTATTGAGGTTGAATACATGGCACCTTGCTAAGCTATTAAGGAACTAATTTGATTCAAGAAGTTGATAAGAGATTTAGATTTCTTACAAGATCAACTTTAGTTTCTATATGACAGTCAAAGTGCTTTGCATTTGGTAAAGAATCCTATATTTACTATATACTTACTCAAAACAAAGTACATTGACATTTATTACCATTTCATCTTCGATGTGGTAGATAAAAAGCAGATTGCTTTTAATAAAGTAGCTTCTTCAAACAATGTTGCCAACATGCTTACCAAGACCTTACCTTTGAAGAGTTTTTTTATTTTTTAGCCATGATTAGTATTAAGATTAAACTAGATATTATAAAGATAATTTGTTTATATCATAGTAAGTTACTTGACTCATTTTTATTAGAACTTTAGTCAAGGTAGAGATTATTAGAAATTAACTTAATTCTTAGTGTTAAGTCAATTTGACTTAATAAAGATTAGTTAACTAATTTAATTAGATTTAGGATTAGCTCCATGTATAATTAGTTTTAGATATAGAAAAGAGGCTACTACTCCTCTCTTTCTTTCTTTTTCTCTCTTTTTCTCTCTTGTGTGCATACTTTGTTCATATTTTGAAAATCTTTTAGAAGTTCTTTTCTATTGTATTGTTCCAATTGATTATATATCTTGTATATGGACTCTTATGTTTCCGCATTACTGCTTAGAGAGTTGTAACTTCTATAATCAAATGCATGTACAACTTATAAGGTAAGATCCTCACATATACAAGATATGGCCAAGTATTATACATATAAAGCAAGTAGTTAATATGTGCAAGATGTGATCAACTTGTTGGTCAATTTTTCAACCTTTTAGTCACCTATAAATACTTGTAAAGTCAAATTTGCATTTACAAAGCTTCTAAGTAGTTTTTCAATAAGATATTATCAAATTTACTTACTTTTATAAATTCCTCTAATCTTCATAATTATTAATGCCAATGTTGTTATTTATAACAATATAGTAAGAATATTAAATTAAACTAAATTTTCTAATTTTAAATTTTTAAAATAATTAATTAATTAAAGATCAATTCTTTATTACTTACAAATTTTTGTATGATTTTATTTCAATCTTACACATAAAAACTATAAATGATGTATATAATTAAATAATATTAATTAATTAAAATAATATTTATAATAATATATTAATTTATTTATATTAATTTATTTATTTATATTAATTAATTAATTTTATATATATAGAACAAAATTAGACTCACCAAAATAATATGGATACAACAAAACTGCAATATGTAATAGTTCATAGCAACTAACTTTTACTTTAAAGTAATTACTTTGATATTGACTCAAAACATGATTATTGAAGTCCCAAGTAAAATTTAAAAACTTAGGAAATATTTAAGATCACACAGTATGTACTTGCATTCTATTATATTATGTCAACTTCCTAAAACATAAAAACATAACTAGTGCAAGATTAATATCACATGATATTGACAAGAGGTCTTTTTAGTGTGACTAATTTTGCACATTAAACATGCCATATACCTTGTTAGTTGGATTTTAGATCTCTCTCATTTCAAGCTTCATCTTATTGATCTCAACTCTCTTGAAGTTACAACTTCAAACATTATTGTGATTTATTCATAATCTAACTTAGCTTAGCTCAAAATTCAAACTTACAAGATCCAAATCTCACAAACTTCTAGATAAAGTTGACAATATCAACATGAACTACTCACACAAGTAGATACCATAAGGAATAGACAAATTGATTCATTGAGTCTATTCTATTTCTAAGCATGTATGTAAAACTAAGCAATTGTATGATAAACACAAAACAACAAAATATGTAAATTTATACCTCAATTCTTATATAGGAATGATTTGATCTAGATTGATAGACCTTGAATTGCCTAACATCCATTAAGAACAATGTCAAGTTGCTTCAATGTTGTTCAATACAACTTTACTAACACAAATTTTTTTGATTAGTTTTTTGAATGTAACACATGAATATGCCCTTTCCAACTTTGATGCAGCCTTGCTATTAGGATCATTCTATAATATAATATACTAGTCATATATATGAATATACAAACCAATAGTTATGACTTTATAATAAGAGTTGTGACTTTTGAGAAGAATATTGAATTCAAATTAAATTTTTATACAAGTTTGATCATTTAATATAAGTTAATATAATTCTAATATGATATCAAATCTATTAATAGAATTATATATTTTATATTCTTTTATTTACTAAATTTTGGCTCTAAAGAATGCTAATATTTATTTAATTACTTTTATTTAAATAATTAAAAATAATTATTTAATTATTTTTTATAAATATTTAAAAATAGCTAAATTAAGTAATTTATTTATAATTAGAATATTTATAAAAATCAAATCACATATTAAATTTTATATCAAATTATTATATAAAGCCAAACTATAACTATTATATATTTTTTTCTTCAATTAATCTAATCATTTATACAAATCAAATTCTATAAAGCATAATATTATGATAATATTTTTGTAACTTATTTAAAAAATTTGAATGATTTTAAAAAATTAGAACATATTGATGTTTAATATCATTGTTCCATAAGATAGCCAAGATAGCATGAACAAGTACTAAAATCTAATAGGTCTACAAATTGATAAGCATCTTTTATATAATTTGTCAATAAAAGTTCTAAGCTTATCATAGGAGCTATAATAAAAGAAAATCTCTAAATAGTTAATATTCAATCATAAATTAAAAAGTATTTTTTTAGATACCAATTATCTTAAAGTAGAATAGATATATAAATGTACATGTCCAAATTTTACTTATTAATACAACTAAATAATCTACTTTAGCAAGAATTATGCACAATAGATTATTAGAAGAGGTGAAACAATTGTGGATCTAAATAAGTCTTATTCTTAGTAAGAAGATGAAACTAAAAAAAAACATATCTATAAGATAAAAAGCTATGAAGTGGGAGAATGAGATAATGCAATAAAATGAATAAATAAATTTAAAAAATTTAAGCTTTAGCACATGAAAGTAAAGACAAGAACAGTACAAAATATAATGTAAGATATTCAACAACTTTTATTTAGAATAGATTGATTATGTTAGTTTATCTAACATTTTTTAGTTTGTGAAACTTTATAATAATTTATTTGATTGTAAGCAATGAAAAGAGAAGGATTTTAATAAAACAAATAATAATTTGATTGTTATTATTCCACATACTTGGTATATTTTGTATATGTCTTAGATCATGTAGTAGTTAGTACATTTAAATGATTTTTTTGATGAACAAGTAAACTACAAAATATTTGGCTTTGATGATACTTGTTGTGTAAATTCACTTAAAAATTTTCTATAATACAAGTCCACAATAGGAAAATAAAATATATCTAGATTAAAAATCTAAATATCTATAATCAAACAAGAATCTCGGTAAGTTATCAAATGCTTTTTGAAACTTTACAATTTAATTTACTTTCATATTTATTTCAAGATTATTGTTTTACTAATTTAACTACTCAAAATAATATTATTTTATATAAAAATAAAGTATTATAACAAAAATGAATTTTTAAAAATAAAAATAAATCAATTAATGAAGTCATTACTTAATAAAATAAACAAAAATATCATAACCCCAAAATGTGTTTTTAGTACCACAGTAGACCTTAGGCACAGGAATAAAAAGAAACTCGGGCTGCAAATTAACACAAACAAACAAGAAAACGGTACTCCATAGTATCAAGCATCCACCCAAAGTCGAAATTTCACAGAAGCCACAATAATATCTTGCCAAAAAATTCTATTAAAGTAATTGAGACGCTGAAAGTTAGCAAAAACTCATTAGGCAGCAACAGCCAGAGTCCTCACATTATCATGCTCTGGCGAACAGCCTAAATTATATTTGTTGTATAAAACGCTCTGCTTTGTTTAACGATTCTAAAATTTCTGAGGTTGTGAAGCATCACAATGAGTCAATACACAAAGGACAGGGTACACTATTCCAATTATCACAACTCAAGTTCCGTTCCAAGTCAAGTTTAAACCAATGACTAAAATAAAAATATAAAAAAAATAAAACCTACAAAATCAGTTGACCTCTCAAGTCATTATTCTTGACATTACGTGACAGTAAGATTCTGTGGGTCAAAATTGGTTCTCACCCGAAAACTTGATGAACTTCGACAAATCGATTATTCGAAAAAGATGTAATGCACACGCAGGCTTATCAAATGTAATGACATTGTACAGAGGATGATTACGCGTTATGATCTAGTACAAGCCGATTGCCTTCCACCAGAGACCTCCAGCTACAGACCAAACCAAGATGTTCCAAACAGCCATCACTGCTCCATATTTGAACACATCCTTCAACTCCACATAACCAGCTGTCGTGAAAACCAACAACGCATGCGTTAGGGCTGTCGCGTTCTAGAATAAATAAATAAAACTCAACTTGAAGATTTCTCACGTCAGAGTGAAGAGACCAATTAGCACACGATATTATCTCAGGAAATCACATATTAGAGGAAACAAACTAGGAAAAACAGGAGAGACTTACATCCGAAGTATACAGCGGCTTGACCACTGCTGTAATGTGTGAGCCCTCCAAAAAGATTTGTGTTAAAAGCAAGTGCAAGAGCTGCCAAAATGGTGGGCACTCCAGAGGCGATGTGCATGGCAAGGAAAGCGGAGTAGAGGGCACCCACATGTCCAGTTTGGCTGGCAAACAAATAGTGAGAGACGAAGTATGTGCCTTGGAGGACACCAAAAGCAGCTGGCCAGCTCAGAGAGTAAGAAGCCAAAGTCTTAGCAACAGCGTCAGACATCCACTTGACAAGACCCAGGCTGGACAAGTTTCCGGCCATTCCAACGAGAACCGCGAACCACGTCAATGTGTCCCAGGCAGACTTCTCGCTAAGGCAGTCGTCCCAATTCAAAACTCCCACAAGGAGGAGGATGCAGAGTCCCAACATTGCTGAAACCACGCTCGCAATGCCGAGGGTCTCCCTGCAAGTAAAAGAGAAAAATCGTGTGAACCTCACAAAAGAGAGAGAGGCAGGAAATGTAACAAGATGAGGCGGATAGGATTGAAACAAGGAAATTGATGTTCCGAGTTGCGTACCCAAAGACCCAAAGAGTGACAGCCAGCAGCATCGTTGCTACCATTGACCATTCGTTCTGAGTGACAGGTCCCAAAGCCACCAGTTTCTTAGCAGCCGCGGCAGGAGCGTCAGGGGTATCCTTGACCTCTGGGGGGAAGAGATTGTAGAGAATGAGGGGAGTGGTAAGAAGAGCTATGAATGCTGGCACACTAGCCGCTTTGAACCATGATACCCATGGATTGGACACGATCACTCCAAGCTCTTGCGCCAGTTTCAAACAGAGAAGGTTCTGAGCTGCCGCGGTCAGAAACAGGGCACTCGAGTTTCCAGCTGCCTGGTGATTAGGGCAACAAATTAGAACTCTCGACGTCAGATTCTCCAACCGACAGCTACTGGTGCTTTCAAGTAACGTTGTATCCCCAAATTCGGTCACGAAATCACAGGATGCAACCGCCAGTTCAAAATCTAGGCACCAACTGACGACATCGAGAAGCGATTTACGACATTTCTACAGCAATACGATAGCGACAGGGGAAAATAAAATAAAATAAAATCAATCAATCAATCAATCAATCAATCTCAAAAGCACCTCGGGCACAGCTACAATTCAAAATCTTCCAATACACAATTAGGATGATAGATTAATGTGACCAATTCCTCGCGGCAGACAATCCTCTCATCAAAATCCACGAAATTCCAGCTAATTCGAATTTCTCTCCCATTTCCGCTTAATTGAATTTTGGTCATCGACACTGTCATAGAATGAAACTAGAGCTGCGCACGAAAAAATGTTTCACCAATTTCGCATTCGTATGATATGATGGTAATCATACGTTTAAGCTACACGCAAAATTGAATCTACATTTGGATTTGGTTAAGAATGAATTGGCAAAAACACGCCTCCATTTGGCCAATTGAAAATGTTTTTGCCTCACCTGGAACTGCGTCATCACAAGATACGCTCCCAACTTGCTAGCAGATTTGTCCTCGGGCTTGCTTCCCGACGACAGTGACAAGGAGCCGATAATTGGCAAAAACACACCCCCAGCTCGGGCCGTAGTGCTGGGCATGGCGGGCGCCAATAGCGTCTCACTCAACGCAAGTCCATAAGAAAGACCCAGAGTGCTCTTCCCCAACCACTTCACAAAGTAGGTCGCAACGCGGTCACCAAGCCCCGTCTTCACGAACCCTCGCGCGAAAAAGAACGAAATCACAATCAACCAGATGACATCGTTGGTGAAGGCCCCAAATGCAGCAGCAAACGTCAGGGTTTTCGTCACAACTGCTACAGTCAATCCGAGAAACGCCCATGCTCCCACAGGAAGTGGCGACAACACCAATCCCGTGATGGTCGATGCGAAAATCGCAAGCAGCTGCCAAGCTTGCATTGTCACGGCCTCGGGCTTCTTCACCAAGTACCGCAATGCAAGGCCAACCCCAACCGATAACACGAACGGCAAAGGCTTCACTCCTTGCGAAACTTTCTTCGCCGGCACCTCTCCATCGGTGGCCACCACCCCGGCCGCGCTAGCCCTGGCCACACTCGAGGAATTATCCCCCACATCTCTCCTTGACCCCCTGCCCCCCTGCTCAAAATCCCTCCTAGACCCTGCATCTAGGATCGACAATTGCGAGCTCACGTCGCTGACACTGGGCAGGAATGCGGAAGCCTTCTCGAAAGACACCAGACATGGATTCTTTGCGGATTGCTTCACAGAGCTCCGGCTGAAGCACGACACGCCACTGGCGCCACCACTGAAACGCGCTTCGGTTGCAAGCTTGATCCTCACGGTGCCCTGGTGGCGATAGCGAAGGGTGTGAGGAGACAAGCGCAGGTTGGCCCCGGCCTGCAACGCCATAGCTGCGATTCCGTCCGCCTCAGCAGAAGACAAAGACGAGGAAAAACAAAAAAGAATCGCTTGCACATTCCTAGATCTTTGATAAAGCCAAACGCTCTCTGCATCTGTGAAGTTTTTTTTTTTCCCACTCTTGCGCAATCTCTTGGATCACCATGATGCTGCCAGTGAATGAACGGAGCTTGCCGGCAACTGGGTGGAGCTCAATTTACCAATTTGACATCGAATCTTCGGAGTAAGAAACCAAAGGGATTTTTTCGAATATTCAAATATTGCTGTTAGCATCAAAATCTAAGACAATGATCGAGACAAACCGGAGAGCATCGGGTTATTTATGGTTAGTTCAATCTACATTCTCCCCATTTTCTGATGCCAGTCTGATCGGAAATTCCTTAAAATTGTTCTCACTCCATCAAGCCTTTTCACGGTAATTTCAACGCAACCAAACTCAGCACCGGGGCGGAGAATCTGGATCATCGTTCCTTCCAGGTGGGCACTGGTTTGTAGCGATGTGCTCGCGATTTAGCCCGACAGCCTTTTATTCTGTTTCTGAACCACTCGCAGTTGAATCCTTTCGGGTTCACAACGTAACTGTCGTTGCAACTCGGCACTTCCGTCATTGTTATTCGTGGTCATCACTCTTTCGGTGGTGGCATGCGCTGTGGGTTCCAAGCGTTGAACACATTGTGGGGAAGAAAGCACTGAGCTGTGGAGGAATCTAGATGCAGCACCACGCCAGGCTAACCTTGAATCTGGAGCACAAAGAAGGAAGGACTAAATATAAACCAAGTAAACCTGGAAAATAGAATAGATTCCTGAAAGGGATTCCCATTTCCCATGCTGAGTTCTTCATTTTGGACCCACATCGGAAAGAAGATTGTGGTGGACAATGGCAAAGCTGCTTGAGAAATTGGGGCAAGAGCTGCGCATCCCATGGGCATGTATTAGTGTACACTAATTTTGCTTCCTTGGGGGTTTAAGCAAATGACATCGTGCATACATGTTCCAACTTGGATCACATTCCAAAGAGTTTTTCAAGAGATACTTTAAATCGGCTGACAGTTTTGTCTGCTAAATTGCATGTAAACAAGCAAACTCAACTCAAGATGCAAAAAATTATTTTTATTTTTATTTTTATGTTTGTAATTTTTTTGCTTGTAGTGGTTTAATATCTATATAAGGGTAGAGACATGAAGTTGTAAGCAACTGTAGGTTGAGGTAAGAGGAAATTTAATTAGAGGATTGCAATTTTGTGCACAAACGTTGTTTGTTGTGTAGAGTTACAGATTACTAAGAAAAAATACAAATTAAGTATTAATCCAGTATAATAAAATTTAATTCCAACACAAGTGGCTAAAAAAGCAAAAATAGATTGTTGTGAAATTTTAATAATAAAAAACATCTTTCATACAAATTTAGCACTTATACCAAAATGGTATCTTAAAACAAATATACAACATGGAAAATGTTAGAAATGTCTTATCAAAATTTGATGATTTCAAGAAAAATAATATTACACAAAATGATGATTTGAAGAAAAATAATATTACACAAAATTTTGCTGTGATCATCAACATATAACTAAACATTAGACTTGGCATGGAACATTCTAAACATAAAAAAGAGATCCATCCATAAACTTAGGAATGTACGACTTTCCAAGGAAAGATTCATGTGGAGGCGAGGTCTTGACAAAACTAGTCATACAATAGTAACAAAATTGGAAAAGAAAATGATTGCCACCTCAACACAAACCAAACGTAAAGCCATACCATTGACATTACACAAGAAGTTCAGTTCGCAAGGTAGTTTCGAAACTAAAAAAACAAAAACAAAACAAGAGGTGGAAACCATTGGCAATATGGCCACGGAGACACCACACAAACTCATGCGAAGCAAGCTCAAGAAATGGCCAGCTCCAAATGACCGGCACGAATTCTTTCCTCATCAAATTGAGGGAATCTGGACACTGAATTGAAAGATAATAAGTTTTCACTTCCCTTTCGCTACACACGCTTACTGCCCGGATCAAGCCCAAGTCAAATCAGAACATGGACAACGGATCTGGAAGGGAGAGGAATGGAGGATGATGTCACAGAACTAATTGAGCTGAAGAAGCTCAGAAATTTTACCCAGTAAGCTTCAGAACCTATAACTCTTACACTGCATGATGTCACCTCTTTGATCACACCTTCTAACTCCTACTTTTTTCTCGAACAATTTCAGATACAGAAGAAGAATCTGCACAAATTTTAGTAGTTTAAATGTTTGAAATCGTGATGGTTTAAACGGAGAATGGGGATCTATCTGAGTCTCTTGTTTACAACGGACACTGGTACACGGATCACATGGCCCAAGGAACCGGTGAAGGTAATCCTTGCGAAGCTGGATGCTTGAGAAGCTTTGGTAGCGCGCACCGTGAAGAGGATGGTCTGTTTGTTGCGGACACCCACTCCAATGGTGAACACCGCAGGGTTGGCGGTGATCACGAAGTCTGGAGCGTTTGTGATGGAGATGGTGTATTTCTCTGCAATGGGAGCGACGTTTGTGACTGTTCTTGGAACATGGGCCGTTCCAACCAGATTCGCGAACGTGATGGAGGGAATGTTGAGATCCGTAGGCTTGCCTGCAACGCCTGCACAGGCTGTCTTGGTGGCGCCGAGGACTTCCCGAGGGGTTGACATTGAGCACAAGAACCTCACGTAATTAAGATAACCTGTTGCAGCAAGGGCTTGTGTCAGAAGCAGTTCGATGGTAAGCCATTCGGAGACGAAGACGACGTACTAAAGATGTTACACAAAGATTCAAACGAAAGAGTATTTCGGCTGACCTGCTTCGAAAATGAGTCCAGGGTTCATGGCGGCGTTAATGTTGAGCGCTCCACCTCCCATGTCGAACGGAGTAGCTTTCTCCAACAAGGGGTAGGCATCGGGAGAAGGATTCTGAGCCAAAAGAGGACGTTTAAAGCGATCTTCAACGTCGGCCGTGGTTGTCATCGCAGAAGCGAGTGCGGCAGGACTCCATTTGGGATACTTCCACTTCAGCATTGCTGCCAGACCAGCCACATGTGGCGTGGCCATGCTCGTCCCCGAGATCATTGCAAACCTTTGTCCTGCGTTATTCCCACAAACGGCATCGTCAACACGTATACCCTCTTACTAATTCGATCAACGCAAGGTTCAGTGTATGCTCATGTCCATGTTAGCATCCAGCGTAAGTTCCTAAGGGCAGAGTGGAAACCTGTAAAGGCTGGGTTGTCAGTGCCGATGGGAGTCCAGGCACCCCAGATCAAGTATCCTGGCGCCATCACATTTGGTTTCAGAATGTCTGCTTCGTTGAAGTTGAAGTCCTTGACGTTCGGCCCTCTCGAAGAAAAGAGTGCCACTTGCTGCACAGATCTAGTGTAGGTGACGGTCAGTCCGTTACCAATCTTTGCAGTGGCTCCGAAAGTCAGGATCTTCCCGCTCCGATCCTTTTTAGTGTACCGGTTGTAGTATGCCAGGAGAGTCTGCCACAACCAAGGACAGTGTGAGGTCAATACTTGGCTACTAAACTCTAACCTCAAGCTGAAGAACCTATTAAGAGCTTAGAGTTACAGCAAGAAAGGTCGGTAACTTACATTCGAATCGGCAGAGGTAGGGAAGACAATGGCAGGCACAGCAAGAGGAATGGGCTCATATTTTCCACCCGAGACGTCCGAGTCCACCACCAAGGCCACACCCGCTGCTTCCAATGATTGAACCGTCTTCACCAGTTGCTGCATTGTAGACCCCCCATAAACATAGTCGAAAGAGTAGGTGCAGATTAGGATCTTGCCCCGGACGAGAAGCTTGTTGTAAAGCTTAGGCGACTGGCAGTCGCTGGGAGAAAGACTTGGATCGCCCGACCCTTGCACAGCGTCTTGCGCCAAAATCAAGGGATACAGACCTGCACCTCTTGTTGCAGCTGCAAAAGAAGCAAACGAAACATGCACGCCATTTTAGTTTACTTGCAGCTCATCTACTGAAACCCTGACCTCAAAGGATACAATCGTGAATTAAAACTTACGAGCCAGTCCAGTTCCTTTGATGATTTGTCTGTTGCCAAGGGTAATTGTATTCCGGAAAGTTCGATCGTCCACCCCTGCTGCCACTGAGAGCACCCACGGACTAAACGATGTAACGGTCTTGGCATACGGGCCGCCATTTCCAGCGGCTTGGACAACAAGCACATTGGCCTTGACAGCGTTGAGGAGCGCTATGTCCAAGACATTCAAGAAGGTGCTGGAAGAGCCTCCTGGCGGGCTGTTAGGTCCAAGCGAGAGACTCAGGATGTCAACTCCATCGGCAACCGCCTGTCATCTCTCAAGTTCATCAGCATCCACAAACACACACACACACAAAAAAAAAAAAAAAAAGAAAAAAAAAAAACTACTACGTAAATAGATCCTCGACGGTACCAAAACCATGCAAGCTGGGCGTTGAAATTGGCATTGCGATGATACCTGATCACAAGCTGCAATGACGTCGGGGATGAAACCTCCGATGAAGCGGAACAGCGCCTTATAGACGGCGAGACGCGCCCTTGGTGCTACGCCACTTGCACTTCCATAGTTGGCTCCATTGACAATCACCGGCACTCCATGGTTTCCAGCAGCAGTGGACGCTGTGTGGGTTCCATGGCCATCACCATCCAGAGGCGATGCAAAATGGAGGCTGGCATTGAACCCACCTTTCTTCGCAGCGGCATTGAAGAACCGAGCTCCAATGATCTTGCCATTGCAAGAGCCTCGAGGGAACCCCGGGCCCACGTCACATCTACCTCTGAACTTGCGAAGAGGACCATAGGGCTTCTGTCCACGCGCGGTGAAGCTCGGATGCGTGGGATCAATTCCTGTATCCACTATTCCAATAATCATACCCTCTCCCGCGCCTGTAGGACCACCGCACTGCGACCACACCCCCTTGGGCAGGCCGAGATACTCTGGCGTGTGCACAGTGGACTTGAAGACCTTGTAACTCTTCTGCACACGGACAACTCTCGGGTGCTTGGCCAGCCGCTCCGCCTCGTCGGCAGTGAGGAAAAGTGCCACTCCGTTGACGAGATGAGTGTAGCGGTACACTTTCTCACAGTCCTCGTATCCAAAAAACTCTGTAAGGATCTGGTCCTGGTGCTTGACCAGGTAGGCATTGTATTTTTTCACAAGGTCGGAGATGTGCGCCCTGCGAATCAAAAGGAACAAAAGAATTCGCACCTTGAGACAAAGAAAGCATAAAAACTCACTTTATTTCATCTTAAGAATTACTTCAACGACAACACTCATAGACCGTGATGCGGAAGTTTCACCTTTTGTGAGCTTTCCTCCATCTCTCTGAAAAGTACTTGGAAGTGCCGCGCAGTCCGAGGATTTTCCCATTGTAGGTCACAATTGGCATCTGGTCAAAGACGACCATGTAAACATCCTTCTTCGGACCAGCTTCGGTAGCCTCATACGATTTTGCTTCAGAAGTGATCAGCGAAGGCAGCCACAAGGCCACCACCAATACCGTCCATACTGTTTGCATTCTCCAACCCCTTGCGACCTCCGAGGCTCTCATTCTGCTGCACCCCTTTCTCGCCGTCGATAAAACCAGGTCCAGCTGACAGCCTTCAAAAATGGTGTCGGTTATCTGCAATTTGTCGATTCCCTAGTTGTTGCAATCAGCTGCCAACAGTTCAGATTCCTCCTTGTGATACTGATGACAGCTACAATCTTACGATGTCCTGGTACGAAAGCGCGTACTTCCTCCAGCAGCCTGCACAACAATCCGACCATTTCTTAGGTCCAGATAGCACTCATAATCTGGCGTCGAGATCGTTGATTCATTTGCCAATGTCGCGAACTTCAAAAAAAAAAAAAAAAAAAAAAAAAAACTAAGCTGGGGACTCTGTAGAAATCGAACCTCCAGGGACACGTCTCCACCGACACCTATGCAGATTTCTAAGGGAGAGCGCATTTCGAGCTAGAGCTTTCTCATCGTAAAGCTGACTAAATGCACACGGCGTCAAGACAGAAAAATCTAAAACTTGGGAAATAATGCACCCCGCCATTGATGCGTCATCTGCTATTCCGCATTCGGCACTTCATACAACATCGTAAGATTGTAGCTGAATAAATGCGCAAACTCAATGCTAGCCATAACCACAAGGTAAAACCATCGGCTTGTGGGTTTCGAATAAGATTCATTAGCGATGGTTGCTTGTATTCCACTGTACAATCTTATCTCTGCAGACACTCTGGTCACACATCTCCAATGGCAGGTACAAGCGATACAGGTCGTGTCGAGACACAGCATACAATGGTCAGGTAGCTCCAAGAGACCCAAATACTAAAACTAAAGAGACTAGCATTTAGGCGAGCGTCCATTACGAAATCAACAGCGACATTGCCCTTAAAACAGCGGAGCTGATCAACTCACCACAGAGAGAGAGAGAGAGAGGGGAAGAGAGTCGCGCTCCTTCTGTAACAAGGTAGTGAAAATCGTCACAATCTTTACATTTTAAAGGACATTCTGCGCGCGACGAATTTCGAAATGGTCACCATCGAATAGACAATCGTTCAATTGTTAGCCAACACTCACCTTCTCCGCGGCCAGGAAGTGCCGCTGCTGCCAAACGTTGGCACCGCAGCTCAGCTTGCTTAAATGTGCTCCGACGCATCTGAAACTAGGTAACCACTGTCCCTCGACCTCATACCTTTTCTTTCTTTCTTTCTTTCTTGTGTTTTGGCAAGATCGAATTGACCACTGTACCTCTCCACCTGAACGAAATCCACCTGCGGGGAACGTGGGCGGGGGAGGTGGGGTTGGAGGAGGCTGGGATGGCACTTAGAGCCCGCGGACTTGAATGGGATCGCCAGGACGGCAGCAGTGCCAAGCTGACAGAAGGGTGGATGCTGCTGAACTGTACGCCACAGTCACTGCAGCCCTGACTCCCAAGACCCTCTACCCAACACAACTTGAGCTACACTTCAGAATGCCAGATTTGAGGTCATGCATAGTCTTGGAGAGCGAGTGCCCGTTCCTTCCACATGATGGCGCTGGCGTTCTTGGACATGAACCCGGACTCGTAGCACACTGCACCTAATTCGCGGCCTACCCACATCCTAATACGCGGTCTGCCCTGTCAGCCCTCCCCTGTCGTCGCTCATCTCAAACTCGCAACCCGCCTAGATCGCCAGATTGCCGTAAGCAGTTGCCGCGAAGGTGTGCCTCTCCACCTGAGCGGAGTCCACCTGGAGTATATGTCTACCTTCCTCCTACGTATATCCCTCCCACATTTAGTTCATATTCAAAATCATACCCTTCAAGTTCATTTAAAGCTTCTGGACGTGGAGATGGCGGTGGCAGGTGAACCCCCACCCTGAAATAGCACTTCGATTCGAGATTCGGACTGTTGGAAGCGATCGTCCAGTGCCTTTCTCCCCCCAACTGTTCCGGATTACTGGGACAGAAATAGACTGACATCGCGACTGTAATCTGCGAATTCCTCCAGGTTTCGGGAAATGCGACAAGGTAGTGGCATACGTACAGGTTAGCCAACTGCACAGATCGGCAGCGAACGTAGATTCCACCAAGCCATAAATCTTCACTGCCCGGGATGAACCAGTAGTCTGTTGTCTCCGCCCTTGACTTGCCCAACCCCCCCCCCCTCCACGTACAACAAAAACTCGCCAAATCCATTACCCCTCCACTTTAACCATATATTGCAGTACGAATCGACGTTTTGGGCGTATTACTCAAGGTGAGCAAACATCGACTGCGAGCACTCCCCGTCCAGTGGTTGACTTGAGGAGAAGAAAGCAGCGGCGGTAGCGACAATCAATCCAAAAGGCAATCAATCATGGCCACGAGGTAGTAAAAAAGGAAGGGGGATCCGCAAGAGGTCATTCAGTCAGTCAGTCCCCACCCCCCACCTGCCAATGTTTGCATCAAATATAGGCCACTTGGGGAGAATGAGCGGCGCTGATTTTGGAGGGGGTAGTGGGTAGGGGGCGGGAATGAGGGAGCGACGCGATTAGTTGTTGTGAGGCACGTCCTTTCGGCGTCATCTCGCGACCTCGCGACGGGGCTGGGGATCCACGCCGGGGCGACTCACTCGCGAGCTCGCGAACTCTCGCTGCCTGGGAAAACACGCGCTGCGACTCGAAGGGATCGACACACTTGGCCCAGTCGGAAGCGCCGCTGACCTAAAATTGTCTGGGCAGGCTTAAGTGTGAGAGTGAATGTGAGTGTGTGAGTGTGAGTGTGTGTTTGTGGGGGCCATGCCGTGCGTCCCTTGTTTTGTTTTGTGTGTATATAATAAGGTATTCTATCATGGACTGTGGCTTAAATTCCACACACGTTTCTATAACATTTAGCGGGGAAAGGCCAAATTTTGTGTTTCAAAGGATGGGTCTACTTGCCATGCGCTCCAATATTCCTCTAGTCAACCCAACAATGAATATAATAACATTTTGTGGGTGGGTGGAATGGTTTGGTCACCTTTATCAAGTGACTGTGATTCTTTCAAAATATACTACTTTTAATATCTTTTGATTGACTGAAATTAAGATACCTCACTTAGTCGACTTTTGTACATGAGAAATTATCGCAAAAGTTGTGAGCAGAAAAGATGAGGTGGAATGCATTCTTTTTCTTTTTCCTACATGGCATGAATAATATTGTTCTCTAAAATTTGTTGTACATCCATCTAAAGAGGCAGTTTTACAAAAAAAATAAATTATATTATGTAAAAAATATATCAAATTTAATTAAATAATTGTCTTAATTTTTCGTTTTCTATTTTTTCTAATGGTCCTACAAATATGATTACATAGTTTATAATTTTTTCCTAAATAAAAATTTCATAACATATGATTTAAAATAAAAAAATAAAAAAAAAAAAAAAAACACACACACACACACACACACAATTTTCTAGTATTCCCTTAAAACACCCTTGTAAAATATGTTGACAATTATTCATTCGTAATGAACTAATTACATAAATAAAGACTCTCTTTTTAGGTCTTAAATTCTTTTTTATTAAAATCTAAATAAACAAGAAAGATACTAACAAGATTTGAACCATATATACTTGGCTTAATTTAATCTATTTATACATAATTCTAATAGTAACAAAAAATATAATATGATTAAACTAGATATTTATTAACAACTGTAGTTATTTTATGCATAAAGTTTTTGAATAATCACATTAGATTTGGCATCTTCCTCAAATTACTAAATTAACAATATTCAATACTCAAAATAAAAATATGACAATTTAAATTTATTTAATTATAGCTAAAATAAATTAATTAAAATTTAACCTAAATTTTGGTGTATTCTTTTTTATTTTTTATGGTCAAATTTTTCTTAGTAAATGTATAGAAAACTTGTCATAAAGACAAACACTTTAGAAGGAAAATGGAATAGGGAGCAAGAAGTAGAGTAGCCACATCCTTTCTTTGAGGAGAATCCATGAAGAAGAAGAAGAAGAAGAAGAAATAGCATCACAAAGATGCACAAGATGAACCCTAACCCTAAAGTTAGAATTTGTAGACCACCTTCGCTTCGAGGGCAACATCACATCATTCCTCATGGGATCTCACCCTTACCAAATATTGCCTACATTGCACATATCTCTTCTTCTTTTTATTATTTTACTGTTATTGCTATTTATTTTTATTTATTTTTATTATAATTTATTTTTATTTTTTGTTATTTTATTTATTGTTATTATCATTTGATTTGTTTTTATTCTTTTTGGAATGATGGGTTGAGGTTCAATTGAATCTTGGGAATGCTGCCCGCTGCCCGAGGTAACAACTGGCAAGAGGAAAGTGGATGAAAGGGAGTGGGGGTGAGCAGAAGTGGATGGATGAAATGAGGGAGGTAGTAAGGCATTGGGGGCTTGTGTTGGTAGTCAAGACGGAGTCCAATGGATCATGTGCTACTGATCAATATGTGCCAATCAACCCATGTGGGTTGGGAGTAGGAGGATCTATAATAAATAAATAAATAAATAAATAAACATACATATTGTAATCATTTCTTTAATACTTAATTTTATGAAAAATAATTAAATTCTTCTAAGGGTCTTTTTTTGAAGTACATATCAATACAATGATGTTCATAATTAAGTTTGTTAGATTACATAAAATCTACATTTTTTTATTATAAAGTAATATAAAGGCCATTCATTAGCGCAAAAAGTTCAACTATATTATAGGCAATCACATCAATAACAAAATACATGCAACCTTAGAATGAAATATGTAATCACATGTCCTTTCTTCCTCCACACCCACCGCAAGATTGTCCCTTATGCACTTTCTTTGTTCTTCCTCATCAATTGTACCACTCATGATTTGTTCACTCTCTAATCAAACTATTGCTATTATGAAACAACTAATCATTTGAGGCATTTTTCTGGGTATCTTTTTGTAAAGTAAAAAAATGAATCAACCAACATATGTACAAGAGAATGATTTTAGAATAATACCATGATTTGTGGCAAGAATTATCATAAGAATCCATACGAATTTTGTTTTTTAAAAGTATTAAATCATGATTAATCACATTGTACAAAATCATTACACAGTTCAAATGATTGTAAGATAGATACTTTAATTATGGGTGTATAATAATAGACATGTGTAATAAAAATTAGTAAGAGATTAACAAGTAAAAAGTTGATTGGTAGTAAAAAGACAATAGTTGTATAGAATGTCACCAATGACATGGCAATACAAGATAAATAGTATTAGTATTAAATTTGCAAGACAAGAGAAACATGTTTAGATTTATTTTTAAATATTAAAGTTAAAAGGTTTGTGTAAAGGATAATTTAAACTTAATTGAAATAGGAATTGTTTAGCAATTTTGAATGAACTCATACATGGATGCACACATAAATGCTGTTATCTTAATACATAAGACATTTAATTGTTCTCTTGATGATATTGTGACTGTATAAAAAAAGGAACAAATCAGAAAAAGAAAAAGAAAAACGTGTTCTTCAACATTTTTTCTATTAATACTAGTACACTAAGCTTGATTTAAAGTGATTCTTTAGATCCCAATAACACGATTATTTTAGTACTTTTATATTTACATTATTTACTAAAAATTCGAAATTATCATATATATAAATATAAACTTATTTTTTAATTGGACATTTTTGTTTGAAAATTGCAAAAATAAAACAATTAGACATCTTTTTTTTAAAATTGTTTAAAATAAATTTCATAGCCGTTCATTGCATGCCTAATTTTATGATTCATGAGAATATTCAATCAATGAATTCTGCGTTTTTCTTTCAATTTAAAAATAAGTAGTATATATATATATATATAAAGCTTTTGTCTTATTATTTTTTAGTTACAATTATTTTTTAAAGAATTTATGAATATGTATGTAGCACATTGGTTTCACCTAAACAGAAAAATTTGCCTTGAAAATTGTGGTGGTTATTTAAAAAAAAATTATATATTTTTGGATTTAAAATAGAAAAAACATTTTTAATTTTTAAATCAATTAAAAATCAGGTTTTTACTTAATTGCAGCTACTGAGCATAGAAGACTTTTAATAAAGTTGTAAAGACTCAAATAGTTAAAAGAACTTAAAGAAGGTGATTCATTCAACAGCTATACTACTCACCACTCACTCAATTCCCATTTGCTCATTCACCCACTTCACTTCCCTAAACAAAGTTACCAAAATCACATCTTCCTTGTTTCACATCCACAATTCCTTGACCTAGTTTGCCACTCCCCAAACCAACACAACAAAAATAAAAACGAAGAGAATGCCATGTCCCCATGGGGAGGACGAGGTGTGAGCTGGGCCTACGCCGAGGTAGACACACACACATACACACACGCTCACTCACACTCACACCGTGTGTACCGCAGCAACAACAACAACAACAGCAGCAGGTGCCAGTCTCCATCCGCATCCTGCTGTTGCTTGCTTGCTTGCTTGTTGTTGTTGCTGCTAGATCCTATTGCAGCTCAACCTACTCCAGCTTCACATGACCAGGCCCACAACTCCAAAGCTACGAAAACGAGCATCTCCGAGCATCCAACAAGTAGCAGCTCCATGCCAGAGTCTGATCCAGCTCTTGAGTGGAGACATTAGTGTTGTGGATCCTTCGATCGTCGGGTCAGTTCATTGGTGATGGTTGCTAGACAGCATCGACCACGCACCAACCCTTCTGATCGCCGAAGTTCCAGTCCTTCTTGTGGGGCAGAGTTTTTGAGTTGCGGAGCGCCAGTTTATTTCTCGTGGTTTGGCAGTAGCTTGTCTTATGGGGTTGAGTTGACATCGAGCGTCGACGCGCTGCCTCTCAAACTCGATGTTATCGACGTTTGACTGTCGGCGTCTTTAATGCTTTGTTTTGTTTTGTTTTGTTTTTTTTCTTTTTTTTTTTTTTTTTTTTCGTTTTTCTGTTTCCATACAGGAGCCACTGGTTTAAGAATATTATTAAGCACAGAATTCAGTGAGTGGGGCCAGAGGTTGCTATGGGTTGGTTTCTTTTTTGCATCTTTTCCGTGTAAGTGCAGAATGGAATGTGAGTGGTGGTTCATTGCAGGCTTCGGATCCTTTTCTGCGCGATTCGATTCGTGTGGATACGCAAAACAATGCTTTCGGTGTCCACTCACCGCACAAAGCACCACCGATTTCCACAGCCTTGTTCTATTTCTGTCGGCCGCATGAACTCAAGGAATTGGGATGGTGAAATTTCCTTGGAATTCCCGCTCTCAACAGAATTTTTTTCCAGTGAGCATAACTCTTTTTGTGCCTAAGATGAATCTTTCCGAGCGAGCTAAAGTTCCATTAAATAAAGATACACTCGAAAATTAATTAGCTCTCAGAATTTAGATTTGGGTAAAGATTCATCTTTAGCTGGACTAATCACTTGAGAAGTGTTCTTTGGTGACTTGCACACACTGTTACTATCATCAATTCAAAAGGTGAACTCACGTTACAGTTGAAGTTGCCAACAATCAGCTCACATGTCATCTGAAGAAAGTCATGCAGATCAGAAGTAGTTCTTCGATTAAAAGCAAAAATACGCCTCAAAACATGCCACCACCTTTGAACCAAGTTAACAAGTCTTGGAAAAAAAAAAAAAAAAAAAAAAAAAAAAAACTCCTAATCATTAATAAATCCTATATTGAAAGTGATTGAGGCTAATACAAAAAAAATTAATATGATCAGCAATATTTGTAGATACAAGAGATGAAAACACGCATGAATAAATTTGGCTACATTAGTTGGCCATAACTTTCGAATCTCTTGGAGAAAAAAAAAAAAAAAAAAAAAAAAAAAAACTCCCCCAGCGATGAGTTAGTACTTCACCCAGCCCCACTTCAATCCAGTACTTCATCCCACCGAAGTGGGTGATTTTTATACCAGATTTTGGGTGAAGATATGCCTTCCATACCAGATTTTGCACCCACTTCCAAATCATCACAATCTCTTACAGAAAAAGCATCGCAAACAGGAAACTGCACAGGAAAAATCACATCAAAATCAAAAGAAGAAGAAGAAGAAGAGGGGAAAAAAAAACACCAACCCATTCAGTAAAACGGTATATGACCTCTCAATGAAGTACTTGCAGCTCCAACACTGAGATATACACAACACTCCAATTCAGGCTCAAATGCAGGATCAGCTTCTTCTTCTTCTTCATCTTCGCTCATTTTGGTCCACTGTTGCTTCTCAGTACACCCAATCTTCACCCTGCCTGTCTGTTGCACTTTTGCAGTCTCATGTTCCGCCTTATTGGGGTCGCGTTGAACGCGTGGAAAGTAGTACATCATGATGATAATGACTAGTATGGTGTACAAGTGCAACTCTCCCCACTTGTTGTGCAACTGCAAAGCTTCTGCCCCACAATGAGACTTGGCTCATCCACTCCACATGAAGTTCAAGTATTTGCAGACTGTCTGCATAGCCCAGCAAAAGAACAGGAACTGTAGTCGATGCAAAATATATGATGATGATGATGATGATACTGTGAACTTCATGGTTACGACAGTGGTCTCAGCAACAGACTGGGGTTCTGTTGCGACCTTGGTGCCTGATTCTCTCGATTGTCAATCACAAAAACTTTCCCATGGCCCCAACGATCATTTTCCGATGGCTCGCTGGTCTCGCTGGTGCGGTTCTACGTTCCACTCCTTCAACTACCAACTCTCGTATCTGGTCTGGTCTCTTACAGAACAAGAGTGCCTCGTTTTTCTCAGCTAAATGATAACATAGCATGCTTAGGCAGCCGCGAGAGAATAGAGGAAAAGATAAGCACATGGAGCAAGGCAAGGAATGGAGAGAGGAAATAAATAAATGAAATGCAGGGGATTGTTACCAAAAAGTGAACTATGTTGTATGTCTCGCGTGCTAATTCATCTATACTACTACAACACAAAGAAAACCAAAGTATCCACTCAGTCATGTGACGCAGCGCGAGTCAAATAAAGTGCATAATAAATTCTTGAGTCGGCCGATAACTCGCCGACTCAAAGCTGGAGCAGAACCGCATACGAGGCCTACTCGAAGCTCTCTTCTTTAGACACCTCTATGAACAAGCGTTTAAACTTTACAAATGCAATTGGGGTATGATATCGGATACTCTCTACCTCTGCATTCTTTCATAGCTAGGGTCGAAGTCACAAAAATGACTTGACTTGGAGGCTTTCCATGATGTCCTCCCAATAGCAGCCATTCAACACTATTGTGGGTGGTGAAATCAACTTCTTATACACTACACTACCTGCTGAGGACAGCCTCCTCATAAAATGCTAGGCTCTAAACCCTGAAAGCTCTGAAAAAGGATTCCCAAGTTCTAAAATGTCAAGCGTCACGCTGTTGATCGAGTACTGTAACAGCCGCTGACATATCCTACAGACCCAGTCTTAACAAAAACCATATGACCTCCGCTCATACCTTTTCTTCCAACTGGTGCACCCCTTTTGACAGAGCTCGAAATATTTACTGTGGAGCGAGAGATCTCGCTGACATTCACAAGAACTGCTCTCGAACTCGTTACAATTTACTCGCAACAGACTGAGGCAAAGCTTTCGCCATCTCCCGAAGCTTGAATTTTTGCACCTTTCCCGTCGTCGTCTTTGGCAGCTCGCAGAACACAATCGTTTTCGGTACATAGAACTTAGGAAGGTGTTCCCTGCAATACGCAACAATGGTGTCTGCGTTCACCCCCATGGCGCCCTCCCGCAGCGTCACAAACGCGCATGGCGACTCACCCCAGTGCTTGTCAGGCCGCGCCACAACCGCAGCTTCCATGATCTGCGGGTGCTTGAACAACACAGACTCGACTTCGATGGAGCTGATGTTCTCACCACCAGAGATGATGATATCCTTCGACCGATCCTTTACTTCGACATATCCGTCCGGGTGCATCACTCCTAGATCACCCGTGTGGTACCATCCTCCCTCAAACGCCTTCCGGGTGGCGTCCTCGTCTTTGAAGTACCCCTTCATAACGGTGTGACCGCGTATCATAATTTCCCCGATTGTCTTCGCATCACGCGGAACTGCTTTCATTGTGTCGGGATCCAAGACATCCAGGCCTTGAAGTCCCACTGTGGCAACCCCTTGCCGCGCTTTGATGCGAGCTCGCTCTTCAGCAGAGAGGCCATTCCACTCCGGCTTCCACACGCACACTAGAGCAGGGCCGTAAGTTTCCGTAAGGCCGTAAGAATGGAGGACCGTGAACCCCATTGACTCCATGTTGCTGAGCACTGAGGGAGGCGGTGGAGCACCGCCTGTGATAGTGAACACTCGTCCAGGAAGCTTTTTCTTGTCCTGCGGGGGCGCGTTGGCGATAGTGTTGAACACCACCGGGGCACCACAAAGATGCGTCACTTTGTGTTTCACGATGGAGTCGTAAATGGCCTTGGCCTCTACATTGCGGATGATAACATTCGTGCCGGCAATTGCAGCCATTCCCCAGATGAACGTCCAGCCGTTGCAGTGGAACATGGGCAGCGTCCACAAATAGACGGATTCGTCTTGCATGCCCCAGAATTGGACTGTGATCAAGGGCGCCAGGTACGCTCCCCTGCAAATGTTTATAGAATGCAAATATGCATTAAACCTTCTTTGAGGAAACTGAATTGATCGTTAAATTGAAGAGAAGAAAGGAAGCAGCGTTACCTATGGTGGTAGAGGACCCCCTTAGGCCGAGACGTCGTCCCCGAGGTATAATTCAAAACGATCGTCTCCCAATCATCCAGAGGCCACTGAATTGGAAAGGAAGGATCGCCGCTTGCAAGGAACTCCTCATACTCTACAAGCTCTCCCCACCCCGGAAGAAACGTCTGAAAATTGTAGCTTCCTGCGTCTAATCTGTCTTCAATGACTATAATTTGAGGCTTCTCTGCTGGGGCGTCAGAGGATGAGAGCCACATTCTGAGAGCCTCCTGCACGACTTGTAGGTGCTGGGAATCTGCAAACAAGACCTTGGTCTCGCTGTGGCTAAGCAAGACGGAGATCATACGAGCGTCAAGTCGGGAGTTGATCGAGTTGAGTACAGCCCTCGCCATGGGCACACCGAAGTTCAACTCGTACACTGCAGGAGAGTTCGGCGATAACACTGAAACCTGCCATTTAATCAAGGACATGCAATCAGTTGCAAGTTCCTGAATCCAAACGACCGTGGGCCATAATCTGGCTATGACAAATGTTTAAGTTGGCGGCGACGTTAACAACTAAGTTTCCTGCCATTGCAGCAACAAGAAAATTCACGGAATCTCTTGAAAGCAGCATGAGAAGGAAACCAAAACTCTCACGACAACGCCTGAGAAGCAGCAAGTCTAGGAGGCGAATATCTGCACAAAAATCCCCCTGGTGACAATTCAGCCATTGTGGGATACTTCTCACCGGCTACTAAATTGACCACCCAAGTCTCAAATTACTGATAAGACTGCAAATTCAAGGAACTCCATCGAAATTCGCACACAAATCAATCGACAAGGAGACGTCCGCAAGCGGTAATAGAGAAGTGAGGGGATCGGTTACCGTCTGGCCAGCCGAGACGAGCTGCGCGACCTTGGACGCGAGGCACCGGCACCGCTCCATGGTCTGCTTCCAAGTGAAGCGCAGATCGCCGTAAATAATGGATGTGCGCTCGGGGTACACCGACGCCGAGCGCTCGAGAAACAAGATGGGCGTGAGAGGAGCATAATTGGCCGCGCATTTTGGCGTCGCCATGATCGCCGACTCTTGCACAACTCTTGCACAACGCCGTGTAAACACCCGATCCTCCGATGCAGCACACCTTCACGCTGCCATCTCCCACTCCTGCTCACAAACCCATGAACCCAGATTTCCGAGACGCGATCAGCATCCAGCAAACTGAGTCACGGCCGAGCCTCTCGCTGATGTCTTCTTCGATTTGATCCTGCCCTCTACGAGACTGAGCTGGCCACGGATTCCGGTCTCCGCGGACACGGCCCTAGGTTCCTGGTTTTAGGGATTCTCACCTTAAAAGTTGCGGTTTTGGCACACCGCATGGTTGGTAAACATTCTACAATTTGAGAACTGGTTATCTGGACAAAAATGTAGACAATTCGTCCAAGGTGTCGACAGAAACGACAGTCGATCTGAAGTTATGATAATACCTATCCATATTGTTATAGTTTTGTATTAAAAAAAATTAACGTAACAAGTTTTAAAGAAGAATTATTTATACCGTGGAGTAATTGGGTTTCTATTGACAAAGGAAAAAGTGAATTCAGGTTTGGCCGAAGGTCTTTGGCTAACGCACTGGACTGCACCACAGTTCGTGTGACATACCTGACAGTGTTTGCCACCTATTGCTCCAAACTTGTAATTACTTTTCCATTCTAGTTCCGTACTAGCTAGTTAATAGGCTAGATTTTCACCTTGTGCTTCAAAACTTCATGTACTTGACAGCCGCCTTTGTCTTGTGTAATGTCTTTGACTAGTTGAAACCCGTGCAGTGGGCCACGAAAAAGTTGTAAAAGTTCAATAATTTGACTTATAATAAATACTTCAACTATTTAATTGTATTAAATAATTGAATTTGCTGGAATCCTCGTCTTTATGATTTGTACAATCTGCTCCAGCTTGTTCTTTGGCAGCCTCTCCAAATTCATGCTCAGCTTCCTCTTCTCCTCGAAACACCTTATACACTGCTTCTCTTCCACTTCTTCCCTCCACCAACCGACATTTGAATCGAATGGAGAGAAGAGAGGACCAGCGCTTGAACAGTTCTAAAATTACATTCTAGATGTCAATAAAAATTGTAGACAGATTTCCCTATCTTTGAAAGAGTTGTCTGTTGTTCTTGTTGATGCAGGTCACAGTAACGTAAACAATCACCCAGTCCTCCCCCATAATAACAAAACACAATCTCATGTTGTATGGTGCGCCAGATGAATTGCTAAATAATGAAGAGAATTGAGCACAACCCAGATCTTTCACCCTCATGTAGGTTGGGATGGCGTGAACGAATAGGACGCTGCAAGTTCGTCAACTATTCAGTTGGACAAACGATTTGCGCATTCCATACGTTAATTAGCATATACTTGAAGAGGTGGAGCACTCTATTTTGTCCAGTTTCATGTAGCGCACTCTATGGTTTGATGGCGAGATTTGTCTTAACATTTTCACGTCACTGCTGATTTATCAAGGTTAAATATACTCCGGCTCGCTGAAGGTCGTGGTCGGAGACTTGACATTGTCCACTTGTTACGAAGTAATTTGTTCTTTTCATGACGCCCTCAGGCGCGATTCCGTATGTAGATAGACCATGGGGAGGAGAGCTTCAGAGGGCATGGAAGTGATCTTGTTCAAGTACAACTTGCATGTGCATTTTATGGTAGCTTACTGGGCTTTTGTTGTATGAAGGGTCCATTCCAAAGTAGCTCCTTGCTCGCCGCAGCTGCTCCACATGGTCGGCCTTCATCAAGTTGAGCACTAAAGGCGCATCTTCCCCTCTGTATCTATCAAGAAAAAATGTTATAACGATGGTTGGTTAGGACTAAGGTAAATATTTGAACATAAACTTCAAATCATGACATGTCTTTGGCTCTTCTCGGTGGACACTTCTCTTGAAAACAGGGAGCTAACACTGGGCGCTTTACCTACTTGAGATTTAAACAGTTGAGAAATAAGTGACATGTCTAAACCGACTCCTGAAGTAAAATTTATAATATATCAGGTCAGACTTCAAATCTAACTGATCATTATCCCTTCAACATTCATGAAGGCTACAACATGGAGTATCCTTCGCAAATAATCCTTGTGACTCAATCCACACTTCATTAATCTCTTGCAGCATCTTTTCTTTCTTGTGTCATTTCAGTTTATAACATACCTGGACCACGATTCTAAACAAATATTCGCGTGGGAATGATGTGCATTCAACGAAGACTTCTCACGATGTTGCTCTCCACCTCGTTTTTGCTTCACCATAGACAACGACGCTAGAGATCGCGTCAGGTCAGTTGAAGCCAAATTCGTTTCAGAGACAGAATCCGTTTCTATGCAATCATCACCAAAATTCATTTTGCCTTCCCCGCCCACCAGTCCTTATACAAACCTTGGCCTCTCTCCAATTCCCAAATCGCCTTTAAATTCCAACACCCCACCACTACTTCAGCCACCGCGTGACACAATGTCCTCCAGGGAAAACAACCATCGTCCAAAACCATCTCAACATCATCGCACCCACTTACTCTTTACACAACTCTCCCAACTGTTGGAGTTGGAGTTTTATAAATGTCAGCTGCAGTGTTTGCAACGCCATGAGTCCAGTGATGAACTGCACCATCACTAATGAGCGCGACAAAGTCCTCTCCGCAACAGCCGACGTCCACGACCAAAATTGAAAGTCAACAGAATTAAAATTACATAATTAAAAGAATATGGTAGTCAATGTTTATGTCTTACGTGGTATCGACTACGTCAACCTGATCAACACCAAACCACTAATTTTTTAAGTTACGATCGATAATGCATCGATTATGATCGCCACCAACTACACGGACTGGAACAATATATATATCGTTTGACTCCAAAGGGGTCATGGAATCATGCAGCAATCTATGTGAGCACACACACATGAACTATCTTTTTGTTCATGTGAACACAAATGTGAACACTGTTGCAATAAGTAAATGAGAGACAGACCTCAAGACCACGAATCGCTCTATAAACAGTTCGCGCCTACCATGATGTATCATTTTATCATCAGATCAAGCTCTCTGAATGGTTAACTACAACCTTGAGAAACAAAACAGATTGTTTGGCAAACTTGAGAAACATATCTTTGCAACATCTTTCCACCATGCAACAATTTGAAAAAGCCTAGTAAACGCCTAAAGATCTTTGCTTGATTTCCATTAAGTTGAGTTAACTCTGCAAAAAACATCACTTTTGACAAAAACAATGATGCATGCAATCAATCAAAGAGGGTTTTTGTCTCCTCTTGTTTGTCTCTTAAATTGTTTCATATAATAGAAGTGGCCTAAAAATACAGCATCAAGATTCAACAATCTATTTGGAGTATTTGAATATTTCAAACGAAGTCCAAGTTTTAGATGTTTTGTGAAAGATGATATTAAAGATACAATTGGTATTGATTTCTAAGGTAGGTTGATTCTAATTTGGCAAGGTCATATTTGTTTATAATTAATTCTAATTTGATTTTCATTAATTTAATTAATCATTATAGAATGCCAATATTTCTAAATGAGTTGAAAATTCTTACATTATTAATTGAATTTAAAATAAGTAGTTCTTTAAGCTTAATATTATTGCTAATATTATACTTTTAATCCTTGACATTTAGTGATACTATTGAAAGTAGATATTAAACTTGATAGCTAGCAAAATGTGTTGTCTGAAAGTAGTAATAAAGATCTTAACAATGATCAAATAATTAAATAGTCTTCTTGCATTGGTAAAAAATATTATTTATAGTTAAAAAGGACCTATTAACCATATTTGTACAAAAACATATAACAAAATTTGTGACTAACATTGTTTGACAAATCTTAGACTTAATGAACTTATGAAATAATTTGGCCACTTTTTGTGCAAATCAATGTAACATTATATTTGAAATATTGGCATTCTATAATGAAAATTTCATGCAAGAAGACATAATGTAACATTTTTTTAAATTATTCATATAATTAGAAGTAAATAGAAAGAAGGAAAAGAAATCAAATATATATGTTACATAATGATTTTCTTAAGACACTATAGAGAAGATTTTTAGACAAAGATTAGTTATTTAAACTTTTTTAAGTATGTCACTTGACTATTTAAACTTGTTATACAAGTTTTTTACTTTTAAATAGTTGTATTAGAAGCAACCTACAACTTGATACTTTGGCCACAAGTGTCCAATTTCTAAGAAGCTTCTATAAGACATTCTTAAAAGCTAATATATATGGAGGCAAAATTAAGACCATCTCCAATTTGGTTAATTTTTATCTTAATTCTAATCTTGATTCAAAAATCCATAGATTATTAATAATTTATGATAACCATTCTAGTTTCTTTTTATCTTATATCTATTTTTTATTTACCTACATTTTCTATCTTTTGTAACATAAGAATATATTGTCTTTTCAAAAATACATCCTAAATCATATTATTGATATCACTTATTTTTCTACTCAAAATACAAAAAATAAAAATCTGAAGTTTAGTAAAAATATAGTATGTGTTTGCTACTACTCACTATTGTTTTATATTTTAATAAAATGATCAAATCATAATCAAATTTAAGTCAAATATAAAATATAATTTATTATTTAAAAAAAAACAAAAATAAAACAAAAAAACAACAACAACAACAACAACAACAACAATTTAGAAGGTGGTTAAAATTGGAGCAACTATATTTATTTCTAAGAACAAAATTGAAGCAATTATGTTTGTAACCATCATAGGTTAAAAAAAATCCTTCTGACAAGCTTAAAATAGAGAAATCTAAAATTAAATTTTAAAGCGAGAAAGCTTATAAATAAAAAAAAAATTAAATAATTTACAAGATTTGTTTTTAGTTTTAACAAGTTTGGATTTTTAATTTAAATAAGGTTTACTAAATAATCGATTGCAAAGGATTAAGTTGAAATGTTCAATATTTAATTACATCATTTTCTCAAGTAGATAGAATAATTTTTTATATGAATATGTACTAATAAGATACATATATATATATATATATATATATATATATATATGTGCAATATTATTAAATTATTGGTATATACAACATTAAATTCAATTCAAATCTTGCCAAAGTAAATTGATTATTAATTATACATATACAAACTTAGATCAAATTTTATTATATATGAAAGAAAAATTTCAAAATATTAAATAGTAAAATAAATAAGAATTCAAATATAAATAAATAAATAAATAAATAAGAACGAATTTACCAAGTTCTATAACCATCAAATTATAATAATTTTATAAAAGTATAATAATTATAAAAAATTTATAATTTAAAAAGAAAGGAAAAATGTTTGAAACTTAAATAAACATTGTACTTCAATTCAAATACTTTGCATTAATTTTAAGGCTCATACCATGGACACATTCAACGTTTTGAGTGTTAAAATGCCCTTTCACAATCTCTCCATTATTTCTACTAGCATTGTGCACAATCTCCATACAACCTTGTGTTAATAAATTTAAAGTGATAAAATATATTTTAACTGTGTTACAAAAAGTTGACTTTGAAGGCAACTCAAAAAGTTAAAGCTATGAATTATTGTTGCTACTGTAAAAGGGTTTGCTACATAATGATCCATGGATAGGAATTGTTAGTCCACTTATTATTGTGCATAATAAACCACAACAAATTATGGTTTGTTGGAAGAAAAAGAAGGATGAATAAGTAAACAAATAAAAACTCCAACATCTAGGAAACATGAAATCAGTGATAAATGTTCTTGAAGAAAGAAAGAATGAGGAAAGGTCACTAGAAGAACTTCAATACTTCACAAGCATGTCAGATTCTCACAGCTTCTATACTTTCAAATGAAGTTGGTAACATGACAAAAGTTGCTTTTGTAAATATTTTGCGCTAGTTAGTATTTCATTCAGTGAGAAAAAATCTTTTAGAAGTGAAGATTGCACAAGAGCTGATCTCAAATACCAGAAGAGTGACACATCTTTGTGTACTTCAGTTTGGGATTTACTATATAAGATTTATATAGATAACTTCAAGTTATCCAAATAAGCATACTACCCACGACCAGCAAGAAATCAAAATATACTGTTTTGCACTGAAGGAGTACGTGGCCGAGAGACTTGGTTTTGAAAACTCTATTTACAAATAAATTTTCGTCTCTTTGAATATGCAATAGAGAAGCCTCAAGTGGACCAAGACTTGCATAATTTTCATATAATTCGAAGTAATTAAAATTTTATATAAAAAAATACTTAGTAATTGCTTGGAGTTGAAAGTTTTTTTCTCAATTTACAAAGCTATTGGGTTTTACAACCTAAGTTCAAAACTGTTCTGGAAGTTGTATCCAAGACTTGGTTACCCTCGCCCATGCAGCACATCAGGAGACTCAACTTCCCTGGGGAATGGTAGCTCAAACCGCTCCTTCACCACGCATTTTTCGCTCCCATCCTCCAAAACGATGCGCTTCTTGCCAGGAGAACATTTCAGAGGCGAAGGAGCTCGAACGCGACTTTCAAGTTCGAAGATAGGTTTCGTTGCTGAAGGTGCTGGGCGTGGCATCTGCTCAACTTGTCTGTGGTTGTGTTCAGTGAATGCTAGGAAAGCAACAACACTCGCCACCACGAAGACAGCCTTGGCAACATGAACAAGTGCATGCCCAACCCTCCCACCCAAACCTCTCATAAACCCCCCAGCAGAGGTTACGACCCCTTCACCATGCACTTGATGCTCCGGAATAACTTGTTCTTGACTGTCCTGTTTACCCTTCACTGCTTCGGAGATATCCTTATTTCTATGCACGTCTTTGTCTACTTCTTGATCTCTCTCTGAGAGAATAAGCTTTTTAACGGCTCGACCTTTAGGCAGTGAGATTGTTCGAGAGAGTTGTTTAGATGGTTGTGTGTTCACTGCGAGAGAGTCATCCACAACTGGCCTTGGGTACGGAGGAAGAAGCAGATCGTCTCTTTCTTCCACTGGTTCTCCTGCAAATGCTAAGGCTTCTCGGACAACTTCCCATTCACGTCCACGATGGTTCTTCAACTTAATTAGGAGCAAGTGTCGACTCTCTTCAAGTTCTGCGAGCACTGCATCCTTTTCGGCTCGCTGGTGATTTTGCATTGACTGGAAACAACAAACGGTTTAGTCAAAAAGACGGTTTATGAGTGCAAGGCCGCAGTCAAAGACGTTTCTTTCTTGAATGACTTTAAGAGCACCGGATAACATACATTTCAAACGCACCAAGTAACGATTCCAATGGTGAATTTTTACTCTTAGCAATGATCCAGATCAGTAATCCTGGAACCTCTACACGACTTTCTATTGCGCAAGCTACAGAGAGAACATTTTTCAGTGCTCCCAAAAGAAGACCTGGGTAGTCATAATTGCATGTTTCAATCCGAACATACATCACTTCAATTCGCAAGTTTGAAAGACGATTCGCAGAGGCAGCACATACCCTTATCAAACCATCAAGCTCCTTGTAATACAGGATATAATCCGATTGCTAATCCAGATACCTTCAAAATCAAACGTACAATGTTGTAGGGTCTACTTTTTACGGCTCATTCGCTGTCTATCCAATCAACACCGTGAAACAAACACATGACGCCTGACTATCAACAAATAATGATAAGCACAAGGCACAGTTAGTGAGTTAGCGACTAAAGTTTGGATTCTAGCGAGCATTGCCCTCATCAACCAAGTCTCAAAGTACAATGCTAACACTAAGGAGAGTGAAGATACGGGAATAAATGGTCACATATCTTCAAACATACTTCCAATCCTACTACGGAATTAAAAAGCCCCGATATATCAGAAAGTTGAATATCGAGGAAAACTTCGTACTCCAATTAATCGCTCATTTTGACAGTTGGTACATAGCGATATGAAAGAGAGTTGCAGGCTGCGGATTTCAGCGACCATTGCTGTACATGAGCATTTCAGAGTGCTGACCGCGTCCCTGTGCAAGCTCTCACGTGACATCTTTGATCATAATATCTTCTAGACACCTTATAAGCGAGGGCAACTCAATCTTAACTCCAGAGAAATAGATGCAAAATAATTCACTTCAAAAGACTCTCTTGAACGATTTATTGAATTCAAACTACCGAAACTAGTAAATCGACGGGAGACGTAACCTTGCAGGCTCTGGCAACAATTCATGCGTTTCCGGTGAATAAAAAATTCAAAACATAAAAAACTAATTCGTGAAAAATCGCTCAGGTCAATCGAATAAAATAATAAAATAATAAAATAATAACTAACTAACTAACAAAAACTGCACGTAAATTAATCGATAAAAATCGCTGTAAAATACCCAGGTGACAAATTCCGCAAGAAAGACATGGAACTCCAACGTACAAAAGCAGGAAGTGGAAATTGAGCAGCCAACCTGCAAAGCTTGGAGCTGCTCTTCGAGTGCTTCCAATGCATCGCGAATCAATCCTAAGGTCCTTGCCTCCGCATTGCTGATTCCATCTTTACCGGCAGCCTTAATGAACTCTCTGTTGAAGCTCTCCATGCCATTGATTTCATCCCCGTCAAGCGCGGAGGCAAAATCAGAATCGAGGATTCCTCCACTACTACTTTGTAAAAAATCTGACTTCAAAGCCCTTTCAATGGCTTCATTGAACTTGCCATGAAGCTCCGACGCCCTTTCAAGCACCACGCGTATCTCATCCGCCTCCATTCCCCTTCCCTACCTTCCCCGCCGCCCTCCACAAATCGACTCACCGATAGCACACACTGACTCTGCACAAGCAACACCGCCGCACTACCTCTAAACCTCCTCAATCACACAATCAATGACAAATAGAGCCACGATGCAACGCAAACCATATCAAACACAAGGCTCTCTCTCTCTCTCTCTCTCTCTCTCTCTCTCCGATTTCACACTTCATCATCCCGCTCGCTTAACCATGACCGCTGTAACTTCTCTCCTCAGCTTCTCCCGCTCTAACCCTCGGCACACACACCAAGAAATGGTCACACGAACCCAAAGTCCGCCGTGACACTCTCCCCACTCCCCCTTCGCTGCGCACAATTGGATGCGGCGTGAGAAGCGAACAAACATGCAAACTATGCAACAGCAAATAAAAAGAGATTCAGCAGCGCACCCTTGGCTCCCAGTCCGGAACAGCCCCCGGAAATGGTGGCACTCGATCGATCGATCGATCGACGGCAAACGACGGCAGAAGTTCAATTTCTCTCTCCCCGTCGTGGAGTTGAAATTCACTCACTCACTCATTCCTTCATTCATTCATTCATTCATTCATTCATGCACTGCGGTGACTATGGATCGATCGAGGGAGGGATCGTGTAAGCGTGCGTGCGCGCATGGGGGGGGTTGTTGCAGGGCGAGCAGCGAGAGATCCCTCCCTCGGCTTTGTTCGGCTTCTTCCATGGCTTTCCGACTCGGCCTTCTCCTCCTCCTCCTCCTCCTCTCTTCGCTTTGGCGCCATTGCTCCATCGCTGCCTCCCCTCATAACAGTTTCCCCGCCTCGGCTGTAAAGCACCCCAGCTTGTGAATGGATGGATGGATGAGTTAATGTGGATGGATGCGTTGAGGTGTATGAGTTGGGGATGGATGTGTGATGGAAGGATGTGTGATGGAAGGATGGAGTGTGCTGGATGGATGAAGTTTGATGAATCGATGAATGATCAGTAACGTTCCTGCGATTGAGTGTGGATTGGGATGAGCTCTGTGCGTTTCGTCTTCGTTGGTTGTTCATCGATTCGTTTCTGACCGGATGTGAAAAGGTAAAAGTTTTCTTTGGCGTTTACTTTTTTAAAAAATTAATTTGTTTATTTGTTTATTCCAAGTAATAACATGAGTAACTTTTTTCTGATTCGTGTGTCGTGAGATTGTGTTGTATTGTCTGGCTTGTGGAATTCCTTAGGAAATGACTGTGTGATGTTTGGTAAAATGCATTTGATGATTGATTCTGTACCGAGGTTTTGGAATCTGGTTTTAGGCTATAGTTGTAATTTGAGGCTGACTGATATGGTAAAAATATATAGTTTAGACCAAAGTATAAAGAAATGAATGAGCAGTGTATTTGTGTATGTGATAAATTTAATGAAATTAGATTGAAATAAAATAAAAAAATTGATTGAATAATATTATGGTATGTTACTTCATTGAATGATTTGTTCTAAGGTATAATCATCTTGAAAAAATAGAAGTTATAGGTCTTCATTAGTAATTTTATATTAGAATTTTTGGATCTCTACTTGTCTAGTGATCAATAACATTGAGAAATTTCAATCCAATTAAGTATAGTGTTTTTGGTTTTTGGGTTTTTGGGTTTTTTTTTTTTTTTTTTTAAAAAAAAAATCGATCAAATATCTTAGAGAAAATCAATCTATATATATATATATATATATATATATTTACATATATCTTTCTATTTTTCCTCTTTGCTCTTGGGAATAATGATTTTTCTGCTAACTTTAAAAAAAAAAAAAAAAAAAAAAAAAAAAAGTTCAATAACAATAAATTAATTAATGAATACGTTATGGAGGACCCCATTGCTGACAAGAAAAATAGATATTTAGTTATAGCAGAGCCCAAATCCTAAAACCATAATTTCAAAGTTTATGCCAAGTAATTTCTGTTGATATACTCTCACATTCATAATGCCCACATTGGGGCAGCTGTCAATACGTAATAGAAGTTACAATTGGTAGCTACACGTGATATACACACACCATGAAACATTTTATTAATCAAACATTATATATCTATATATATATATATCCATATCTGAACATTTCCACCAAGGTTAGTAGTGTTCTAACTTAAAGAGTTTGGAAGCTAAATTTTCTAATTTGTGTAGTGGGCTGTAACTTACAAGGTCAATATCTTATTCATCATTGTAATATGTTAAAAATAAACATATAAACAAAAGCTCTATGAGATAGAAATATTGTTCAAATAGTTTCTGCTTAAAGCGTTTCCAACATTTGTTTACAAAAATAAAATGATGATTTGAGAATGATTTATGCATGGATTGCATCAAAGATTCAAATGATCATTCAATAACGTTGTTAAAACAAATATTTAACAAAATAGGTTGGAATTTAATTATTAAAAAAAATACACTTCATTCTCATAAAATTTATTCATTAAAATCTAGTTTTGTATGTTCACAAGGAAATGCAGCATTATGTGCTGTTGTGTTAAATTAATTAAACATCTACAAAATAAAGATATCTGATGTTGAAAATATGACCTTGTTTATTTAAATGCAACCAAAATTATTTGTTATTCAATACTACTAGCAATTCTCTAGAAGTTGCAATATATATATATATATATATATATATATATTTCTGTTAAGGTAATATCAAAAATTGTGGTAGCATCAATAATACTTTTTGTGTATAGAAATATAACTTGGGTGTTATTAACTCATTATATTGTTTGACAAATGGTGTAGCACATATCGACAAGAATGTCCACCAACAACAAAGCATCAACTTACAAAGTTGGAGTATTTAATCTTTGTTTTATTGTCTTGGAATTCTATAAATACATTTATATATCTAGATTTATAATACATATATATATATATATATATATGCAACAGCATAAAATCTCCTTGGGAGAAACAGAAAAACGTATATTATTTTTTACATAATTTTTTTTACATTTGTAATGGCTTGGAGTTCAAATTATTTTAAATATTTAATTTTTTAACAAATTTTTATTTTTATTCTAGTATATTATTAAGAATAATAATTTGTTTATTTATTTTTTCTTATTTCTTAGCAAAAACTTTTATGGTGTAAAATCATGTATATTACTTGCATCCACATTTTAATATTGAAGATATACTTTTAAAATTGTTGTAAACTTATATAATACTCCCGGACGACACAAAAAAAAATTTAATATTTAATTTATATTAATTTAAAAATACATTTAATTTTTCTATGATTTTAAAAATAAAGTAAAATTATGCATTGTAAAATTCTTAAATTACATAATTATCTATTTCAAAAAGGAAATAAAGACATAATTATATAAACATATAAGAAATGATATTTCATTGTGATGAAGTGGAAAAATAATTCCCATATTAAAAAGAAAAAAAAGTAAAATCTTACAGCCTTCAGAAAAATACAACCCAAAAGATATTTTTGATAATTGGAAAAAGGTAAAGTTTGGATCAACCCCTTAAAGTGTCCGTCAAAGCCCACCGCCGTGTGATCCGAGGCCTATGGCCGTGGAGCAGCACCCAAGGACGACGGGCAGAAGAGGAAGACGACGACGATGACGATGGTGGGATTGGCCACGGTATGTCCGAGTCTCAACTGAGAGTCATGCTATTCCGGGTATGATCTTCCATTGATACCCGCTCAGTTATCCTGTTTTGGTGTCCAGGATTGCGATAAGCTTTTTTCATTCGCACTTGCGGCTAGCGCAACAAGGCGAGGGAGCTGGAGCTTGTACTCTGGGTGATGGAAACTCATCGCTCAATTCTCTCTCGCTGCGCACTAACTCATGCGGGGGTGCTGCGCATCCTCTTTCAAACCCCTTACTCATGATGTTGGACACTACAGGTCTTGGTTTTAGTCATGAAGTAGAGAAGGCGCGTTGGTTTTGATTGTGGATGTTCCGTTCCAAGTTGTGCAGTGGGAAGATCGAAGCAGCGGAAATGGCTTGCAGACTGAGTTCGAGAACTGGGGTTGTTGCTGCCCAGGCAAAAATGACGACGTTGTTGGATTCTGTGCAACGAGGCTCTCACTTGACGCGACGTGAATTATGCTCCTCCTCCTCCTCCTCTGGGTCTAATTCTACTTCGTCTATGTCCATGCGTCGCCTGTTCTATTCCGGCCGCTGGCCAAGTAGTGTCGCAATGGCTGGGCTTTGGTCATCGTGGGGTTCATCAGCTGGAGCTGTCGGATTGAATCGTAAGAGCCGGATGACGACGGGCCGTCAAAGTGCAGCTTCGGGATCAATTACGCAAGAAGAGGTTGCAGATGTGGGCACTGTTACTATGGGTCAGTTTATTGTGCAAGGTCTTCGTGAGGAGATGGAAGACGAGATTGTTGTGGAGGTTGATGGTCCTAACGGGTTCTCGTATGCTGGTGTTTTTGATGGTCATGCCGGAGCCTTCTCCGCCCAGTTTCTACGGTTGGTCTTTTCAGATTCTGTGTTTGCTTGGAATGTTCTATTGCAGTTACTGGATCTCGTGAACACGTTGAACTTCAGTCATGTGATTCATTTTTGACATATCTTACGGATTCATAGCCCGTCCTCTCATAATCATCACTCAAAAATAATTGTGAGAGACTTTTCAATTTGGTTTTATCTTTTCTTTAAAGAACTTGCCGGATTGAAAAGATTGGCAGCTCGATTCTGCCCTCGTAGTACATACAATATTTTTGAGTGAGTTTCAATCACCTAACGTAGAAGCTCTCAACTGCGGATTGCTTGGCATTTCGTGTTCCGCATGTGAAAGTATCACAGTTCATCAGGAAAAGCAGTTTGAAATTTGAAAAAGGCAGAAGTCTGATTAGAATTCATTTCAATTATACAGGGATGAGCTTTACAAGGACTGTTTGTCTGCTCTTGAAGAGGGTGCACTACTACTCTCCGACAACTTGCATGAAGCAGAAGAAGCTCTTTCTCGAGCTTTCTTACAGACCGACAAGCGACTCATATCACGGTTTGTAGTTTGCACTCTGTGACATACATTTACATTGATATGCAGAGTTAGAGTAGGCATCGAAATTCTTCTGAAATCTATGGTGATTATAAGAGCTACAAGTGAATTTGCATCACATTTTCTGCATCAGTTCTTTCTAGACCTAAACCTGATATTGACGATGCTGGCACAGGCTAGAATCCAGCAAAGTGGTTGAGGAAGCAGAGTCCGGATCAACGGCTACTGTTTTATTTGCTCGGCCTGACCGTCTAGTGCTCGCCTATGTGGGCGACTGCCGTGCGGTGCGTAATGACTCGCAGACTGTTTTTTTCTTCTTGCATTTCTATGCATAAGTTCGAATTGTTCATTCTGGCAAGTACTTTAGATTTACCTTTAATATACACGCTGCTGATAGTGAGCAAGTTTTTTGAAGAAATCAGTTACCTAAGGTATGTAAGCCACGAAGAATCTGAATGAGAATGGGTGCAGGTTTTAAGCAGGAATGGCAAAGCTGAGGACCTCACGTCAGACCATCGACCTTTTGGAAGAGAGAAGAAAGCTTTTGCAGAGATCAAGAGAATTCAAGAAGCAGGAGGGTGGGTGGGTATTGTGAAATAATACTTGCATGGTCTGTTCAGTTGTTTCAAGTTAAGCCAGCTGATACCGCAACACTCCTTTGAAGAACCTGATTGTATCCCATGTGTTCAGGTTACTCATGGTCGACTTTGTGGGACTCTTTCCGTCTCGCGTGCCTTTGGCGACATCCCTTTCAAGCTTAAAACTCAGAAACAAAGGTATGTTCATTCCACCAAGCAGATGACCCATACGATCTTCTAATAGCTGCTTTTCTTCTTTGTTTCGCTAGGTTTTGTTTTTGGAAGGCTTAAAATGCCTTTCTGCATTGGTTTCTAATCTGGTGACTCACTCCATTCTAAGCTTTTCATATGTCTGAAGGTTTCAGAGTACTCCACTCTGAAAGGTTTCAAGAATTTCTCTGAAAAGATTCTTCGTAATTCTTTTCTTTGAGACAGGCACCGATTTAACTTGGCGTGTATGTGTGGCAGGATGCTGGACAGTGGGATAGTTGAAAAACGGTGGAATGACAGATTTGCTGCCGAGTGAGTAAGCCAAGCAGCTGGATTTGCATAGATTATATTCAAATCATTTCACGAAAGGTGGGCATGGGATGAACACTCCATTCTAACCTCACAATTTTGCTGAACAGAAAAAATGTCGATGGTGAGTGGTTGATTGCTACGCCAGATACGACTTCTATGCTGCTACAAGACGAAGTCGAGTTCATTATAGTAGCTTCCGATGGCCTTTGGGATTCCTTGAAGAGGTATGGAAAGAACGGCCTTTAAGATTTCTTCAATGAGCAAGATTGTTTCTTCTATGTGAAGTGGGTGCCACCAAAACCCGGTTTTGATGATATTCTTGTGCTGCATGAGCAGTGCTGATGCCGTAAACTTTGTGAGGAAGCGCTTAAAGGAGCATGGCGATGTGCAGGTAGTAACAGCTTGGTCTCTCTATTTGAGAGGAATACATTCGCCCTCATGCTGTTCTAAATTTCGGTTTATGTGTTCTTCAATGTACTGATTTCCTATGTTGTGTTCTCTGTACAGCGCGCAACAGAAGAAGTTGGACAGGAAGCTCTGGTCAGTTGCTAATTCTTTGCCCCTTTCTACAATTTCGAGGTTCAATCTTCAGCCTGCCTGTTCTCTGAAGTGCAAGTGCAACATGATCATGCACGTATGGTTCGAGATGCTCGAGGGAAATAACAAATTTTATACTCTTGCAGAACCGGGGCGCTCAAGACAATGTTAGTGTGATCATTGTGGACTTTGCGTACGTTTACTCCCCTATTTTTCGTGTTTGGATTTTTATACCGACTATGATTTGATGTGGCTCCCTGTTCATTCTGTCGGACTATACTGACCGTGCATTTACCAACTGCTTGGACTTCAAAAAAACAACATTGCCTTTATTAAATCAACTTGCTTTTCATTGAAACGCCGATGTGTCTGACAAGATCATATGTAAGTATTTTGTTCACAGTATACCCATTTTATAAGAGAAGACCAAGGGTGAAACTGTTTGCACTTGGGCTTTATGCAGGCGCGTAAAAGCAGATACCGGAGGCTCAAGCTGGAAATTCTGGTAGCACATCAGAAGAATACAGGCGCTTCTCAGACGAGCACTGTGATTTTAATTACTCTAACCAGTCAACTCAAGCTTTAAGATGAGTAGAGAGGCGTCTTGTGCCAAAATCGATGCACTCTTCGACGCACTCTTCGACGAGGTTAGAATCACACAACCCAAGAATTCAATGCTTGGATTGTACAAATGCACTTGTAAATCTACTATTCTTTTTTACGGTATCATCACCAAAAATTACGATTTCAATTATATGCCTAATTTTGTGAGGCTTGCAAATGAGGCTTCCACTGTTGTCGATGATTTTACCGCATGTTTTGAACTCATGTCCCTCCAAGCTAGGTTGCTAGTAGATGCTATGTGTTATAAATATTCAGCAAGCGCCCACTCAGTTGCAAAATGAAAACGAAGTTCAAGCTTTTTGTGTATTGAATGTGACAAAAGTCTTTTTATGAGAAAGTCCATTCCTAAGCAAGTTTATTGCTGACAACTTTAAACGATCGTTACAGATTAAAATGTTGAATACCTTCATGAAGCATGATATTGTAATGGTTATGTAAATAGTCCAAAAGTTTTGTTATGAATCTAAATTGCCTTCTATTTGCCCCAACTCTAAGCTCAAACAATTGATTCTAAATGCTTTTGAGATTTGTTGCTTCAAGTCAGAATTGCACAAAACTTAAGAAAAGAATCGTTCTAACTATAGTTATAAAGATTTTTAAATTTTATTTTATAATATTTTATACATAATCCTAAATAAGTTTTGTATTGGTTGTAATGTTGTAGTTAGATTGAGTGTTGTCATTTATCATCTGAAAAAAAAGATTAGAGATTTGTCTTATGTTATAGATTTGTAAAACATATGTATATTATTTTTATATTGTTTCTATATTTTTCTAAAATATAATAAATCTATTATAAATATGATTATGTACATATATATATATATATATATATATATATATATATATATTCAATTAAAGAGATTGTGTTTTATTATGCTTCTAAAGATTTGAAAATAATTTTTTAAAATATTATATATATAAATGTTTTTTATAATACCATATTATTTTTTATTATTGTTACTATAATTCATCATCTATCACACTTGTATCTTTTGTTACTATTATATCCATCACAAATATAAACTGATACAATAGAATTGCACAAGGCATCTTAATGCTTTATTACAATTGTATAAACCACAACTTGGCATGTCTTTTGTACAAGGATATTTAAAGCTTTACACCTTGCCAAAGTATTAGTGGTGCCAAGTTCCATAAAAAAACAACATTGCACAAATAGCTGTATAAAAAATAATGGATGTATTGAATATAAGAATAATATACAAGAGATTATAAGAAATTATGTATTAAACAAGTGGTCAATTGTAGTGGCACCAATAAAAATTGTATTATATATATGTTTTTTTAAATAAATATGTATAATAAAAATGATGTATTCAAAACTATGTTATTCAATTGATTCTGTGACACATATCTTAACTTACAAGGTAAGTTTTTTATACATGTACTACATGGTTAGCTTATATGACAAGCTACCAATATATACAATATATGGCTAATTTTTTGGCCAAGTGTTCAACCTACCAATTACTTTTAAACATATATAAAGATGAAATTGCATCTTTGAAGCTTCTAGGAAGCTTATCTATAGTATATTATTATATTTATTTATTTTTTATTTATTTTTATTATCTAAATAATTATTGGCATAAATATATATATTTGTGACATTATCTTCTTTTATAGGAACAAGTTCTAAAAGGAGTAGTAATCACATATCGATGAATTTTATGATGTGACAAATTGTATTTGCTACATATTTTGATGTTTATTCCTCTCAAATATTGAGAATGTTCTATTCCAAAGTGAGAGGACCATCATATTATTTGATAATTGTTGAGGCCTTTGTAACTTCTTTCAAACAAAACATTTGTAATACCATCAATAGTTATTTTTACTTGCAATAAAATTATTAAATATTCAAAGTCTCTTATAAGATTGTGATACCAAACATGTTGTATCTTACCATTTATTTGAAAAAGAACATATTTTTCTTGAAGGTCTTTGTTTCTATTTTGTTATTTTGAAGGTTGTAAAAATTACAATGGTGTATCTAATATATCAACAAATAACAGCTCTTAAGTTGAATCCTACTGGTTGTTGCTTTTCCATCTTTTTAGCATCACAAATATATAGAAACTACAAACAAGAATATAAAGTAGAATAAAATCATTCATAAACCAAGTTTCTTTTATTGCAAAGATTTTCTTGACTCTTTATCTTAGTTTTGATGGATGTTGTTAATGAAAATCTTTGACTTTCTCTATCATATTTGCAAAATTCTTTCCTAGCTCTTATGTATATTTATTAAAATTATATTTGCACCAATGAATAAAATATTTTAATTTAAGTTGGTATTGCACTGATTCTAAGACTTCTTCCACTTCAAACTCTTAATTATTATCCATTTCTATAGAAAGCAATGACATTTATCTTCTTTCCAAGATATTTGTTATTTTATATGGCTCAAAAAGAGACATTATTTTGTAATAATATGGCTAGAAGGTGAAAGAAGAAACAAAGTGATTTATTATAGAAGAGCCTAATTAAAAAGATATAGTAGAAAAATATAGATAAAAGATAGGTAGATAATAAAACCTTATAATATTAGAACTACCTTTTATAAAAATTGATTCTATTTAATTTGTATTGCCATAAATAATACAAAATAAGGTAGATTAAAAAATTAAAGAATATAAACATATATAGGAGGGAGTTAGGAGTTGATTTTAACAAAAATTACCTCAAAAAAACAAGATTTAATACATAGGAAGGACTAGTTGCTAATTAGGATGAAAATCAGATCTCAAGGCACAAAACCGAGAACCTATGCCATTTTTGGAGTTTTTTTTATCAATTAGAAAATAAAATTTGAATATAGATTTGAGAAGAGATTTTTAATATTCGATCTTATGTCATTTGGTCTAAAATTGAGGTTTTAAGGGATTTTCAAAATTAATAATGTATTTAGTCGGTTTAGATTTTGAGAAATAAAAACAAATTTATAAATTTGAAGATTTTATGAGTTTCATAGCATATTTAGGAGAGAAAATTTGGTATTTTTTTGTTGTACTTATTTTCAATGTGTAAAATATTTGAGGTCAATTGAGCAATTAGATTGAAGAGTACAAGAGTTTTGTGGATTACAATCTTGAAAATTGGGATTTAAAAATTTAGTAAGGATTTTTAAGATATTTGTTAATCCGCTAGATGGATTAAAATATTATTTTTTAAAAATATAATTAGCTTGACTTTCAACAATTTTTCAAAGTTTGAAACCAATTGAATGGTGAAATTAAGAGATTATGGTTTCGGAATATCAATATCATGGTTGAAGAAGAATGTCGATCAAATTTAGGGATTATCACCTATTTGATATGTGCAATCTTCTTGTAATATTTTGTGTTTATTGATAATTTAATTATTGCAAAGTTTGTAAATTTTGAGTCAAAAGTTTAAGTATTAGTTATTGATTTTACAATCTGCTATAAGATTTATTAAGAGTTTATTTAAAATTCAAGATTTGATGAAAGATTAATTAGGATTAGTTTAAGATCTAGGATTTTATTAAGATTTTTTTGGAATTTAATTAAAATTTAGAATTTATCTAAGATTTGATTAAGATTTAGGATTTTTCTAAAATTTAATTAAGATTGATTTAAGATTTAGGATTTGATTAAGATTTGACTAGAATTTGATTAAAATTTAAAATTTTATTTGTATTAGATTTAAAATTAATATTTGATTAGGATTAAGATTTCATTAAGATTTGGTCTAGGATTAGGATTTAAGATTTAACTAGGATTTGATTAAAATTTAAAATTTTATTTGGATTCGATTTAAAATTAGGATTTGATTAGAATTAAGATCTCATTAAGATTTGGTCTAGCATTAGGATTTAAGATTTGACTAGGATTTTTTTATAATTTAATTAAAATTTGATTGGAATTTAGGATTTCATTAAAATTTGGTTTAGAATTAGAATTTAGAATTTGATTAGGATTTGATTAAAGTTTCATTAGAATTTGATTTAAGATTTAGTTAAGATTAGTTTAGAATTTTATTAAGATTTATTGAAGATTACATTAGCATTTGATTAGGATTTATTTTTGATTTTGATTTTTGATATTTTAATTTTTTTTAATATTTATTTATTATTTTTATTATATATTTTTTATTAAAATTTATTTATGATTTTTTATATTTCTTTTGTAAGTTCTTAAAACTTCTTTTAAATCAATATTAATTAGTATTAATTTCATTGAGATTGCTTTGGCTTCAAGACAATAGTCCATTGTTGATCAAAAACTACATCTCTTTCTTTTGATACAAGATAAGATCATTTAAAAAAAACATCTGACAAACCTTGTTGTTTTCTTAGTTGATAAGTAATTTTGATATCAAATTTTGATAAAGACATGCTTCAATAAGCTTTTCAATAATTCAAAATACATATTGCCATGAAATAGTAGAGATTTTTATAATTTGTATCTACATTGATTAGATTAGGATAGCCTATTAGATAATGATACCATTTTAAAAACAAATCTATAATTACAAAAAGTTCTTTGTTGTGGATCTTGTAGTTGATTTTGATTATTGAAAAATTTCTTGAATATAAAACTATTAGATGAAATTTGTCATTTGTTTTCATTTTTCATAATATGATACTTAAAACAAAATTTAATGTATCTGTTTCCATAAAAAATATCTTAAAAAAGTTGATGCAATATAAAATTGATACAAAAATAAAAGCTATCTTGAAAGCTTCAAATGTTACTTCTGCTTCTTTATTCCAGTAAAGTTTGTCCTTACAACTCAAACATGTAAGTACAGCTACAACTTAAAAAAAGCTTTTGATAAACATTGGATAATAATTGACAAATCTTAAAAAATATTGAGTATCTCTTATTATTTTTGAGACCTTTCAATCCATACTAGTTTGGACTTTCTTAAGATCCATCATAAGGCCATCATTTAAAATGATATATCCTAAAAAATCAACTTAAGTAGAATGAATTTCATACTTTTCCATCTTGGCATATAGTCTTGTATCTCTAGATTTTTAGAATATGTAATGAATATAAATTTATGCTCTTTTGGATTCTTAGATTAGATTAAAATATTATCTAGATAATAAACAACAAAATCATTAAGAAACTCATAAAAGACATCATTCATTAGATATTGAAAAACAACTTGCACATTTGTAAGTCCAAAAGGTATGACTTTATATTTTAAATGCCTATACTTGGTTCAAAACATAGTCTTTTATTCATTTTTATTATTTATGTATACCAAATTGTATGCTTTTCAATTCAATTGGTCAAGAAGTTCAGTTATCAAGGATAGAAGGTACATATTTTTTATAGTAATTTTATTGATTCTTCAATAATCTACATAA